AGGCTTCTTGAGCAAGAAGCTGTTATCAGAAGAGATCTTCCACAAAAACGTCTTGCGCAAGAGCATGTCCACACTGCAAAAGCGCATCGAAAAATCGATGCACTGTTGCGAAAGAGAGAGTCCAGACTGCATAGATGCTCTGTCAAAAGTAAGTTCTGATTGCTATGCACAGAATGACCACCAGGGTATCTGTGCTTTTTCCTCTTTTTGTGCAAAAAAACCCTCTTCCCTGTCCACACACACCTTTTTGCGAAAGAGCTCTTTTGCAAAAAGGCATTCTTCCTTGTAGAATACCTACACCGGAAAAACCCCTCTGTTCTTTCAATTTTTTTGCGCAAAAATGCACTTGAGGCGTGGATGGTCTGTGAGTTTTTTTTGGAAAAACAGCTGTTTTTTTCCAAAAAAACTGTAGTGTAGACATAGCCCTAGTGACAAAACAATTCAGGATGCTGTTAGCTTCCTAAATATTTCTTTATGGGGTGAATAACTGTATGAGAGTCACCACTTTTCTAGCTCTTGTAGTGCTAAGATCGTGTAGGAAGGAGTGCAAAGACAAGGCCTAACATTTGAGCAGCACATAGTTCTCGTTTTGTTGTTAATCATAAAAACTTATTGTAAAATTCATAAGAAGCTTATTAATGGCTAAGGGTGAAACCTTCCCATTAGATTCCAGAGGCATAACTGAGATAAGAAAGAGAAATGACACAGTCTGTGTAATTAGAAATGGGAACAACTTGCTTGTTCAATAGTGCAAGCCCAGAAATATAGGTTAATGCAGCCAGCACCACAGATTTTCATTGGCTGAGTGGCTCCTCTGGAGGACAAGAAATCTGGCCAAAAGTGTGTGTTGGGATGCCACCAGACCATACAAATGCAGGCCTCAGTGAGGAGCTAGACAGGGACAGCACTCTATCAACCATTGCTGAACTTGCCACACATGGGAGAAAGGCAACATTGGCTGCCATTAAAAAGTAATCATTTGCTGTGCACACACAGTTATATTTGACATACTGCAGCTCCCAGCATGCTGGGAAAGAGAACTAACCATGGTAACCGGCAGTACCTTTTGTCTTTTTGATGGCAGTCTCTGACCTTAGTTTCAATTTTTTTCCAAAGGTGACAAACTTTTGCGACACTTTAAATAAAGGTATATCCATGAAAAGAAGGGAAGGAGAAACACCTGATAGCAAGATAATGCCTGGCTGGCACAAAACAAATCCCAACAAACAGTTCCCATTTGTTTGCACTTCACTGATATACACTACGGCTATGATTTTGTCACATCTGTGATTTCCAGAGTCGTCTGTGACTTTCAGCCGTGGACCTGGGAGTTGCAGAGTCCCCCTGCCACCTGTGGTAGCTGGGAACTGTGGAGTCCTGAGCTCCAACAGCAGCATGTGGTGGGGTGGCTATCATGGGAGGTAGCAGGTCCCACAGGCAGTGGGGGTGTCCAGGAGCTCAAAGCCACCACAGATGACCTGGTTGCCACCCAGCTCCTGTTTGTCATGGGTGACAGAGGCACCCTGGAACTTCAAGGCCCCTGCAGGTGGTGGAGGTGCTCTGAGCTCAGAGCCACAGGCTCTGAGCTTGGGCCTCTTGGGTTGGTATGGAGACCCCACAACTTCCCATTTTGTCATGCATATTTTTAATAAAAATCACAGACAGGTCACAGTCTTCCATGAATTTTTCTTTATTGCCCATAACCTGTCTGTAACTTTTATTAAAATATTCATGACAAAATCTTAGCCTTAATTATAATGTGCCCCTATGATCAAGAGCAAACAATTAATATTAACCACTCCCATACATAAAGGGAAGGGGTTGAATTAAAGTCCACTGTATAGATCAAATGCAACATGAAAGATGAGTCTACAGAGCTGATAGGAGAATTTCATCATCAGAAGAAGGGAGAGAAATATACAAAGTATTTCTGTAATGAATATTTGATACCATTAATAGTGATAGAGATGCAGCCGTGTTAGTCTGGTGTAGCTGAAACAAAAGACAGAGCTATGTAGCACTTTAAAGACTAAGAAGATGGTTTATTAGGTGATGAACTTTTGTGGGCCAGACCCACTTTTAAGCTCATCACCTAATAAACCATCTTGTTAGTCTTTAAAGTGCTACATAGCTCTGTCTTTTGATACCATTAATGTGAGCCTAAGGAGTCCCATAAATTGCTGGCCTACATACCACAGACTTCCCTTCGGACTATGTAACAAGATAGCTTTTCCCTGTTTCTTTCCATACTCCATTTGTGGAGATAGATGGCTTGATTCTCCTTATACACACACACCATCTTTACACAATTATTATTGCATTTTTAGTGAAGTAACTCCTGGTTTTCAGTGGTGTAAAGGAAAGGAGAACCAGGTGCAAGAGTTCACATTGCAAATTTTTCATTTCAAAATGTGGCATAGAAAATATTTAAAAAGAGGCTTAACATATTTACTTTTCCTAAAAATTGATGTCACTGAATGCTTGAGCACTGGAATGCTCATAACAAATAAATATATTGCGGGGTCGCGAACTTCGTTAACACAGAAATACCTTTGAAATATTACTCTTCCTTCATTTCTATTGTTTGTATGTATTATATAAATGGATGCATTATCAATGTAAGGTATTATTTGGTATTCACATGTATCTTTTCATAACAATAAGTGGGTTTCATAATGTTTTTCAGTGATGTAGGAGCAATGATCTATCACTTGAGGTTTTATCGCTAGGGCTGAGGAGGGAATGCGATGAAGTGGAATTGCTTCTGTGGGAGCATAAACAGCTCAGCACATCAGAAAGAAAGTCTCAGGTAGAGCGTGGATGTTAAGACAGCCAGCTGGGGCAGCTTGAAAGAAGGTTTGATCTGAATTTTACAGTAGGTGGGAATTATTTGTATGGTACTACACAATGGAACTCAAAACCAAATGCAGCTGAGCTCACCCCCCTATTGTAGGGATGCTGCTACCCTTTCAGGTGAAAACCTGGCCCTACTGATGTTAATGGAAGCTTTGCCAATGATAGAGAATGTCTTTCTTGATCTCCATACTTGAGCAGCATTATATTCCCAGACTCCCTTACCCTGACCTTATACATAATTGCTCCATGCTTGGTTCCCCTTTGCCCTATTTGCTTTTGTCCAATATGTCAAACTGAAAAAAATGTGGTACAGACCAATCTCCACTAGTTAATGGATATTTCAGCTGATTTTTCTTGCCACTGGCAGTAGATACTATGAAGAAGATGGTGAAAATGACTAAAAAGCCTTATAAAACATGGGCCAAGGATACTTAGCCTCACCTAAGACAGACTTGACTGCAGCTAAGATGCACACCATCAATTCTGCTATGGTATAATACAGCAAGGGTTACATCATCAGTGGGTACTTATTATTTGAGATGTAAGCTCTAGTCATAATTGCAGAATTGCCTAGCAGCTGTAGCAGTAGTTTGCTTCAAACAGCGAGAAATATTAACACTTAATAAATATTTCTGACTTATGAATCCCCAAAATACAGTCATCATGAATTTGCTTTTCCCACTTTTATTACCCTTTAACTTTAATGAACCCCAAATCCCTCATGATATTCCACCATCTCTTTCTTTATTCTTGCCATTTTTCTTTTTTCATTTGTCTTCTTCTAGCCTACCTTCTGTTACCACTTCATTAGTTGTAAAGGCCAAAACGTTCAAATCTTGATGGTATCTACAGTCCAGGACCAAAATTCATATATTGGCACCAAAATAACGGGTCTGATTTTTTTTTGAGAATACTCTAATTCATATTACATGGCTGTTTTTCTTTTGGTGTGGATAAAATGAGCCATATTCTCCTCCCGCTTGTACAAGTGTAACCCAAGGTTATGCTATAGAAGTCAATGGTGTTAAAATGATGTAAAATCAGTGAGTTCAGAATGAGGCTTATTGTCTTTACACAAATTACGCAGTTTTTCTTTGTAAATATAGAAAATTATAACTATGGACAGGTGTCTCTCTTCTCTTTTTCCTCCTCTCTACCATCATTGAGTGCACATGGTTTTCTTATTTTGTCCCCATTTTTTCCATTGCAACTCTTACTTTCAACCCACAAATTTTCCTTAATGAACCTGCTTCATCTGGAGGGTTGCCAATTTTCCTGGACCAGATGGACCAGACGCCATTGCCTCAAATGGTGTCCAGTCCAGGAGAGTTGGCAACCATATTAATCAGAGTCTGTTTGTTGTAAGTAACTCATAGTAGTGACTATGCAGGTAACATATATTTTATGTAAATCTTTAGGATAAAAAATTGGAGGTATCAGATGTGTTAACATGTTACCAATTTTACCACACATCTGGCACCTCCAAATGTATTATCTGAAAGATTTAAATAAAAAAAAATTCTCCTATTTGACTGAATAAACCTGATTCCATTTAAAGTCATTCCAGAATAATTTTATCTTCTAATTTCAGAGTGCTCCTGTTAATGTAAATAGTGAAGATTTTGAAGGAAGTCCTGAAATCACATAATGCTAGAAACACAAATTGTAGCTTTTTTCTAGATAAGAAGGTACTTTAATCAATTAATCACTGTTACTGATTATTTCCTAAATGTTGACATTTGGAATAAGATGCTACAAGCAGATCCTTATCCAGAAAATAGCAGCCAGAGTCAATATCCAAACCACAAATGTAGGAATATTACTGATATTATGCAAGATAGGGCTGAATTTGGTGAAAGAAGCTGGTGAGATAGAACAGCTGTTGTTATCTTTAAGTTGACAAAGTAGCTAGTGTTCAACCAGTTTGGTTTTTATATGGCCTTGAGAGATACATCAACTATCACTATTAAATCTACGTCGCTATTGGAAACTGTTACCTTCTTGTTGATCAAAAATATGAAATGGAGTAAAAAAATCATAACATACCATGTTCACACACAACACAAAAAGAACTATATCAGGGACATCAGGGAAGGTGGAATACTATAACAACACACATTATATTGTTATACTATTCCACCCACCTTAATGGAGAACCCTTGGGTGTGGCTACGCCATAGCCTTTCGAATCCAGATTTCCTCCCACTTTCATGGTGTCACACGGCTTTCGCTGTTCAATGTATTCGTTCATGGTGGACTCCAGGAGGAAGGCAAACTTGCCCTTGGATTTGCGAACACGGGCTACTCCCTCAGCTGTAGTCCTAGTGAATACTGATGGTTCTGCTGATTTCATGTAGGTCCACATCTTTTCGTACACTGCTATTTTTGATCTCTGGAGAAAATTAAAGAGAAATTAGATAGACCAAAGATATTGAGATATTGAATGCATCATAACTCTAGGTAAAATTGATCAAAGCCAATCCCTCACACCAGTGTTTTTTGGACAATTTTACCTGGGCAAGAGATTTCCTTGAGTGCACTGGTTATTTTAAAAGAAACAGTTGTAAGTAACAACATTATAGCAGAAACAAACCTTAATTTTATGCACCTGGTAGCCCCTGAGAGTTTTAATAAAATAGTTGCAAGCATAGGTCTGAATTTTCAGCTACAGAAAGGTGCTTTTCATTTCCAGAGTTGGGTCAAAGGATATTATGGTGACTGAAAATTCAAGCCATAACTTACCAATGGGTAATTTTTCCCTTTAAAATAGCAAAGAAGAAGAAAGAAAAAAAGAAAACAGCCCTCCAATAAATACTGGGCCAAATCTTGAAGTTCTTACACAGTTTTAATGCTTACTTTTTACTCAATCAAAACTTGTATTGGCTTCAATAAATTTTGCTTGAGTAAAGGCTGAGTAGTTACTTCAGAATAAACACTGTAATAAAAACAAATGTAAACCAAACTCGGATGTGCAAACACACTCTTGAAAAGGAAATAAAATGATGTATTGAGCTTTGATATCAGACATGATATCCTCATCTTTCATTTGAGTTGTAGGAGAGAGAATTCCAGTGTCAGTGACCCATAGCCTACCAAACCCTTCCTTCTATCATCTCAGGACTGCATCAGTGCTGCAGACCTCAGCCAGAAGAATCTGATAAACTCACAGCTTGTAGATTACTTGGAAATCTGTCTTCCTGGTGAATGCTTAGTACAATTACAGATGATAATGCCTCATAGATGTGAAAAGATAGTACTGTTTTTATGTTATTGTTATTATAGACAACAGAAAGAAAGAAAGAAAGAAAGAAAGAAAGAAAGAAAGAAAGAAAGAAAGAAAGAAAGAAAGAAAGAAAGAAAGAAAGAAAGAAAGAAAGAAAGGCTTTGCATGTTTGCCATTCATGTTTAACATTATGAATTAAAAGCCACCTACCTTTATTCTCCTGCCATCCAACAATATGGATATATATATTCAAATCTAGGTAATGCACAACTTTTAAAATGTTGGCAGCTATACATCCATCATCCTTTTTAGTGAACATATTGTCATGGGAGGAGAAAGCTCCTTTTAGTAAATGGAGAAGTTTCTAAGAGGCTTCACCCAACTCTTGTATAAGTAAATAAGAGTTTCTGTTGAAGCAGAATTAGGTTTTTGGGCTTTGTCCTTCCAGGTACTGAGCACTCTTGGGGGGTACCTCCAGGCTCCCAAATAGCAAACATTTTATGTGCATCTATATTCAACAAAACACTTAAGCATGTGCCTAACTTTAAGTCAGTGGGCCTGAAGCATGTGCTTAAGTGCTTTTCTGACTAGGGACAGATGCTGAGTCAGGCTAAAGTCCCACTGAGTTCCACCAGAGTTGGGGTTTCTCAACATCTTATACCTTGTTCCATGACAGGCCGAGTGGGAGGAACTGGGGAGACTTTGCAAGAAAATCTACTCACTTAGGTTGATTTATCTTAAAGGAGTCAGTATGGGATCTCTGTAAAAGGCAAAGGAAATCTCCCAGAAATATTTATCTGTACCAATTACGCTTCGTCTACATTGGCAAGATTTTGCGCAAATACTTTAAATGCAAGAGTTTTTGCGTTAAAGTATTTGCGCAAGGGAGCATCTACACTGGCATGTGATTTTGCACGAGAGATGTGCTTTTGCGCAAAAGCATCCGTGCCAGTGTAGACGCTCTCTTGCACAAGAAAGCTCCGATGGCCGTTTTAGCCATCAGGCTTTCTTGAGCAAGGAATTAACGTTGCCTGTCTACACTGGCCTCTTGCACAAGAACAGTTGCGCAAGAGGGCTTATCTGAGTGGGAGCGTCAGAATATTTGCGCAAGAAGCACTGATTTTATACATTAGAACGTCAGTGTTCTTGCACAATCTAGCATACAGGTTTCTCTTTTAAAACTAAAACATAATAAATTAAAATACAATTTTCTCTTTTCTATCTTAGCAAATCAAGATCTAAATTTTCTAAACATAGTAATTAAAAAAAACAACCTTTTTTTCATAATTCAATTTCCTTCTCCAACCAGGCAAACAACACTGAAGTTCTCACAAGTCCTCGTCTATATAGAAACATTCTCAAGCATCTAACTTTCAGCTGAATAATTCTGTCATCATCAACATTTTATATATAAGCTAAACTAGATGAAAACCATACAGGAAACCAATAGATTTCCCATACTATAATATAAGGAAATAGTGAGAGGTTTGAATTCTCATACTTAATCCACTAGACAATACTGCCTTTTATATAGGGCATTTTTTCTGCAAGGCAATTGAAATTTAATTTTCTGCCCTCGAGCAAATGCTCTCTACATCCAGCTTTCACAAACAGCTTTAATAACAGTCAGAAAGGAATTATGTTTTTCTTTTCAGTTTACTTTTAAAAACATTTTTTCTCTTTGCTGATCAAAAAAAACTAAAGCAGATGGCAAATGAATTTAGATTAACTCGTGACAATGACTGAGCACTCCTGGGTGGTGCTGACTGCCTCTAGGCCCCCAAATAGCAAAATGCTTATACACAGTGTCATGAGTTATGATTTTTCATTGAGTTGGTAATTATTAATAAAATGATAAACAGCAGCATGAAGCCCCAAAATGAAGAAAAGTGTTGTATTTTAGAATGCTGGACTGAGTGAAACAGGTAAGGTTTTCCTTAATGTTTATCAAGGCTAGATCTTAATGTCTGTATTATATACGTTTAGCTGATGAATTTTGCACCCCTTTGGAAATACTTCATTTTTTCTCCTATATTTAAGTATTTTTTAGCAATAGACCCTGCAGCATTGCATAGATCAGAACCCTTTTGAAGAATAGCCTTCAGATACATGATTTAAACAAAGTGATCCAGCTAGCCTAGTGCTCGTTAAAGCTTCATTTATATGTGCAGTTACGTTTAGTTTTTGTAGCTACTTTTGTCTTGTTTGCTTTTATGTTCTAAAATACAGGGGAAAATGTTGAGAAACAGCTGATTTTGCTGCTTTTCTTTTAATTCCCAAAGATTAAAGTGAAAAAATTATGTTTATTTTTAAAATGGATCTTGCTATTTATATAAAATTCAAAATTGAAGCACAATATAGTAGTTACCTTTACAGCATAATTAGAAAAAAATGATAAAAGCAAGAATGATAACTGGTCAAAGAAGCTGACCTCATTATTTCAAAATTGCAGTATGTCAATGCGTTGTGGAAACCTCACAAACAGGGTCCCATTTTTTCCCCCATATCCTATACACTCACTCTGCAGCATTGCCTACAAGAAATGAAATTTCTCAATGGGCATGTGAGGTATATTAAAAAATAATGGGGAACTATTAAGAAATGCTCAAATGATTCTAAAGTTAAACAAACCTGTTGTATTCCTCAGCCATTTATGTATTTTAATTGCTATAGCTGTGTTAGCCTAGTTAATGGAAAGACTCATAAGCAATGGTCATCATTTGCAATGCTCTACACCAGGGATCAAACGTGGAAACTGCAAAACTAGAACCATGACTCTTCAGAAGCTGAGTTAAAGAACCAGACTTAAAGGATTCCTCATAATGCACAATGTGGCAAGAGTTGCACATTTCCTCAGGACAAAGGAAGCTCATTCGGCGCATTACGGGATCACAGAAGTTCAAATCCCAGACAAGCCTCCATGTATGTGACATCCATCATCTTGGCCTGCCTCTAGACTCAGAAGCATGAGCCGACTCTCAAGTTATAAGCTTCTCTAGGGAGCAGTTTCAGAGAGGACATGTAACTTATTCTGAACCAATGAAGTGCTCATAAAGGTAAATACCTGAACAGGGGTTTGCAAGATTAGAGCTCCAGTTTTTAAAATCTTTGAGTAAGGGATCCTTCTAGCCCTATGCTCAGTAAGGACTTAACCATACTGATAGACTCAATCCATGTGCAAAATAATAATACTAAAACATTTTTACAAACTCTTCTAAAATATCCTCATTCATTTCTTGTGGAAAAATATTTAATTATAGATATGGTAGGAACACTTAGCAGATACCAAGTTAAATAATTAAAGGGACAGTGTCAGCAATTTAGGTTTTGTTAAAGATGTATATCTAGTTGGGCGATTTCAGTTTGAGGATGATTCTCAATGGTTTTTTTTTTTTTTTTTTTTTGGTGCAGGGAGTGGGAGAAAGGAGGAAGAAAGCATCCTGGCATTTAACATTGTTCTTTTAACAAGACTTTGGCTACGTCTAGACTGCAGGCTTCTTTCAGAAGAAGCTTTTCCGGAAAGATCTTCCGAAAAAACTTCTTTAGAAAGAAAGCGTCCACACAGCAAAAGTGTATCAAAAAAAGTGATCTGCTTTTTTGAAAGATAGCATCCACATTGATTGGACACTATCTCGCACTGAAGTTGTGATTACTATGGAAGGAGTGGCTTCCAGGGCACCTGTGCTTTTTCCTGGAGGCCTCTTCTTTGAAAAAGAACCCTTCTTCCCCGTCCACACACACCTTTTTCTGAAAGAGCTCTTTTGGAAAAAGGTTTCTTCCTCGTAGAAAGAGGTTTACCACTGTTGGAAAAAACCCGGCGTTCTTTCGACTTTCTGTTGAAAGAACGCAATAGCAGTGTGGATGTAAGTGTAGTTTTTCCAGAAAAACTCTGCAGTGTAGACATACCCTTAATGAAGAGAAACACCGCCCCCCAACATTCCAACTCCTTGTTTCTCCTGAAAACAACTTTCCCCTATGAACTTTAGGCAACACCTGGCATTTAATTAATCTCAAATGAGATCATTGCTAACAACTTCTAGCTAAAAATGACAAAAACCCACAAAGACTTATACCACTTAAGCCACTTGGGCTGTACTTCCAATGGCAAGAAACAGAAAACTAAGCAGAAGGACTGATGGGTGTTCTTATGTACTGTTGGTAATGTCAGTGCTTTCTGTCTCCATGTGGCTAGGAAAAGAGAACTATACACCCCTACTACACTGATATAGGAAAGCTAATGAAAATGAATTATCACTGGTCATTTAGGCTGTTTTCGAATGCTCCAAATCCACAAACACATCACATTTTCCATGCTCTATGTAAGTCAGCAATTAATAAAATTTTGATTCAGTCACCAGGTTTCATATGCCTCCCCTTAGCAAACGAGTCCCCAGCAAATGCTAGAAGTAGAAGCAAAACAGCAAGACTCTTTATTATCATCATAGATCATTCAATGCTGGATTCTATTCCCATACTATAACTTGAGATGAACCAGTAGTGCAATGCTGCTCTAATGATCTCTCGTTCCACTATCCCTCAGGGCTGCTCCCTTGCCTGATGTGTCAAAATCAATAAACTTTCCACAAATTAAAATGACTGCAAATGCCAACAAGTGGCGCCAGAGGTAAAAATTGTAACCTCAGTATTACAGAAGCTACAAACCCCAACATAATTATTTGAAAAGGAGCAGCCTTTCAGCATTCTGCACATTTCATTGTAGATTGTCTGTAGGGAGGATGGTCCTTATTAAGCATGCTGACTTACTCTGAAGAATTCTTTTGTTGACCCTGAGTCCAGTGTTCCATATGCAATTTCAGTTTGTTTGGCAAGGTCTTCTGCACTTTCTATGGGCGAGACCATTCGCTCAACAGTCAAGAAAGCAGCGAGGTTAGCAGTGTATGACGAAATAATGATGAGTGTGAAGAACCACCAAACACCTCCAACAATGCGACCTGAGAGGGATCTAAACATGAATAAGATAATGCACATTTTCCTATCTCTTATGTCAAGGAGAGAAAAAGAAAGAGAGTGAGAGATACCATTATTACTGTGATTTATTAATAAATAAATGGTCAAAATGAGTGTGAGATTTTATAAATATAATGCACCACTGCATATTTCCTAATAGCACTCCTCTCATAAATCATGAGGCCCCTAATATAAAATTCAATATATAAATATTGCTATTTGTAGATGGCATTGTGAATATTCTCCAGTGGTAGTTCTCTTGAAACTTTTAAATACAGGAAATGCCTGCTAAACTACACTCTTCAGGCTCTGTGACAGAAAGTATCAATTTTTGAAGAGTGAAAATAGTAAAGCAGGGTGGGCTTTTAGCAGAACACCAAAAGATCTCTATTATTCCTTCTAAAATATAAACAAAACTCAAACTACCCAAGTTCCCCTGAATACACAATATGCTGTCATATTAGAGCACAATTGGCACTTTTATGTCATTTGCCACTTATAAGAAAACACCTGAGTATATATTCACCCAGCTGTCTGAAAACCCCTAGTTTCATGTAGTTATTTAAGAAGCTGAACATAACAACAACAGGATAATACTGACAATACATAAGTAATACATAATACTTTCAATTTCAGCACCACCTGTCATTTGAGAAAAATGTTGTGGAAAATTAAAGAACTGTTAGCAGGTGAGAAAAAAGGGATAAAAAATAGCTCCTGCTGCTATTGAAGTCATAGGGAGTTTTGCTATTAAATTCAAAGGAAGCTGGATTGGATTCAGAGAGTTCAAGTTACTTGCCCAAAGTCACACCAGAAGTCCGTGGCAGTGCCAGGAAGCTCTTAAGTCTCCTGCTCAGTTGCCTTATGCACAGCTGCATCATTCCCCCTCTCTGTGTTATCTAGGCATGTGTTCTGAAATGAAACAGTATCCTCCAAAGCCTTATTCAGTGTTGCAAACACAACTGAGATACAGAGAGTTTCATTTCACATACATTGCCTTAAAATACAGCAGAAGAATATGAAACTACCAAGGATCTGGGAGCTAGATGGCACAATGAATTAGTGCTGCCATTTCTGGCAAACCTGACTTTGAATCCTGAACAGGCCACAAGCAGAAGCATGTTTTGTTGTTGAATAATATCCACATTGTACAAAATGCTTTTCATATTAAAAGTAAATATTATCATGTTAATAAAAATATCACATTAATCTGCATAGCAGCCTTTATGAGGTTGGATGGAGAAGGATCATCATTACGTTACAGATTAGACAACTGAAGTACATGGGTTAATGGGCTTATCTTCAATCCTAGCTCTGGCAAAACTGACCTTGACTTTAAGGAGACTCACGAGTAGAGGCTGCAGTACTAAGGTGAAAGAGTACTTTTAAAAAAAAGCACTTAAGTGATTTATGGACAGATTTAAAGGTACTTATTGGGATTTTTAGGTACTTATTGGGATTTTCAAAAGCACATTAGGTGCCTAACACCCACTGCTTTCAATGAACTTTTCCGTTTTCAAAAGTGACTAAGGCCCAGATTTTTTAAGGAATTTAGCTATTGCCATGGTCAGCATGGAAGCACCTAAATGATTTAGGAACCTAAAACTGATTTTCAAATAGGACTGATGTTCCTTAATCAGTAAGGGTATGTCTACACTACCCCGCTAGTTCGAACTAGCGGGGTAGTGTAGACATACCCTCAGTTGACATGGTCCTGTTGACTATGAAGCCCTCGAGTTGTTTCTGCTGATACCTTTGCAGTGGCTCAGATGCTGAAGTCCAAAAACCATTTTCACTGTTCCTCTCATAATACATTTTTGGAGACTAATACCAACACTGATCTTTATTATGCATAGTGAGTAATCTGTCAGGGTATGTCTACACTACCCTCCTAGTTCGAACTAGGAGGGTAGTGTAGACATACCCTAAGGCATTGCAGTGCTGAGCGCAGAAATACATAAATCTGGTAGTTAGATACCAAGTCCCTCTGACTTTTCAATGAGAAAAGCTTCTGAATTAGCTATATCATCAATACTGAAAATGGAACTTAGGGTTCTAGGTCATTTAGACACTTTTTTGAAAATTTAATCTTAAGTGACTTTCCCGATGTTACACAAGAATTCAGTGTCAGAGACAAGAAGTTCCTGATTTCAAATCCTTTGTACTTGCCACTATGTTGTCCCCATTGCAAAACACAGCAGTCACTTTTGCTGACATTTCACACAGCTGGAAATCTGCCCAAGAAAAGACTAAAACATTACATGGGAAAAATGTAGTTGAATTGGGCAGAACTTACTAAGTTTCCATAATGTCTGCTAACTAGGTGGCTGTTTCTAAGCCATGATTTTGGCCAACTAATCCATATTTTTTAAAAACAAACATAAGGTATTTGAAAGGTAAAGGGATAAAATCATTATCAGGTTGGATATTTCTCTTTGATTGCAATGTGAAAATGTGATCCAGCATCCATGATTTTACCTTTAGAGTGAGATTTTGCAAAAAAACCCTCAGCATGGGCCTAATTTTGCTCTCATTGAAATCAATGGGACTACATCTACACTGCAAGGTTTTTGCACAAAAATGGCAGTTTTTGTGCAAAAATCTGTGGAGCCATACCTCAAATGCACTTTTGCGCAAGTAAATCAGCAGTAAAATGGCAGAACAGAGTGCTTTTGCTGGTGTAGGTAAACCTCCTTCTATGAGGCATAACTCCCTTTAGCCCTACAGCTATTGAGCAAAAAGGCAAGAATGGACACTCCAGAGGGGTTTCTTGCACAAGAAAATCCTTTGGAAAAAGCACAGGTGCTCGGATGGCCATTCTGTGAATGGCCATCAGAGCTTTCTTGTGTAAGAACGTCCATGCAGTGTGGACACTCTCTTGCGCAAAAGCACATCACTTTTGTGGTGCGCTTTTGAGGTATGGACGTGCTGTTGTGCAAGAAGTTTTTGCGCAAAAACTCTTGTGCAAAAGGCTTCTTGCGCAAGAAGCCTGCAGTGTAGACACAGCCTGGGAGTTTTACCACAATAGCAGCATGAAGCAGCGCAGATCACTTTCTGAAATCCTACTGCTAATGCTCAGTTTAGACATCCATATTGGAAAAAATTAGACATAATGTTTAATGAGCTGGTGGTGAGCAGGGGAGTGACAGTCTGGGTGGGCCCCAAGACAAGGTTGGAGGGCAGCTCCATGCTTTTGGAAGGGGCAGAGCCTCAGGTGGAAGGAGCAGGGCTGAGGCAGCCAGCCCTCAGAGCCATCAGGAGTATGCGGCACAGGACTTCAGCAGAGATTTAAAGAGCACGGGCTTCAATCGCTACCACTGCTGCTGCAAGAGTAGCAGTGGCTGGGAGCTCTGGGCCTCTTTGAATTGCTGGGCCCTTGAGCAACTACTCCCTTTAGCCCTCCCCCAATCAGTGGTGCTAGTGGTGAGTGATGCAAGTAAAAGTAAAAGTTCCTGCAGTGTGCCCAAAATCTGGGTAATCTGGTAACTCAAGACAACAACTCTTAGAGTTTGGCAATTATATAGTATTTATCAGAAATAGTCACTAAAAGCACTTTCTCTTTTATACAGTGATACTCTGGAACCAGTGCCTGTAAACTTTAATATGAAACAAAAATAGGTCATTCATTCATGCAGATTGAATAATCAGCATAATGGTAGGCTATTCCTACTGGGATACAGTAGGCAATATTTAGTATTTACTCAAGTCCAATGAAACCAGTGGAATTGCTCCCATGCATATAAGTTATTAATTGAGAAAATGTTCCTAATTTATTTACACCGAAGTCTGAAAACAAACATGATATAAGTCTTAAAGTGGTTTCTCCAATGCTCTTGCAGTTTCTAAATGGAAAAACTCCACAAATAATGAACTTCTACATACCACCAGTAAAAGAAGAGAAGGAAGTTTTTATGCACCCAGGCATCATCAGTGTTGAAGATAAAATGCAAATTAAAAGATTTGACACAAACCTTGGGGAAATATCACATCCTTGTTGCATAAAGGCACCCAGGGAAAACCAGAGGCTGTTGAATATGCCAAACTCATTGGGAGGCTGATCACTGGGTCCTTCTTTCCCATCTTCTGGCTCTTCAGTGTGCCACTCGTATGGGCTAAACCTGCTAACTAGGAACAGGACTACACTGACACCAATGTAGGCAAAGACAATGCACATCCAGATCTCATATGCCAAAGGGTCCAAGAAGGAAAACACTCCTGGTTTAGATTTCTGGGGCTTTTTGATCATAATGGAGATCCCCAAACTCATAAAAGGCTTCGAAAAATCAATGACCTCTTCTCGTACCAAAGTGATGGTCAGAGGTGCAACAGCAATCTCTGCTTTCTAGAAGAAAAAGAAATATAGACATATAGCTTAATTAACTTCGGTTTGTACAATTATCGAAGCAGCTAATTCCAAAATCATAGTTTTAACAACAGCAAATTGTTAGGATTATTTATATATTCTTATGGCTAATTCTATCAATTTTTAGAATAAAATGCAGGTTTATAGTTGTATAAGAAATATACTGATAATTTAGTAATCAAAGAATGTGGAAGGCTCAAATACTATGGTGAAGGGTTGCAGTGTCAAATCTAAAATTAGATGAGTAAAAAGACAGGTAAACCTAAAACAAAATTATATTATCACCACCAAATGGGCAGAGTATTCGTTCTGGCTATTAAACCACCAGATATAGTTAGTTTGAACTGATTTTTCTGTCTGGTATGATCTCTTCTTCAGGAAAAGGGTGAAGATGCAAATGATCCCAAATGTGCATTCCAAATAGTATGAGAAGTACAGAAATTAAGGAAAGAAAAAAAATAAAGGCTCTGATGCTGCAAAGATTTAAGACTGTGAAGTTTAGTATGTGCCTAAGTGTTTGTCGGATCTGGAAGTTCATGTTTGTTTTGGTGTTGTTACCTTAGACCATATTAAAAGGCAGCATGTCAGGAATGGAAATGAAAAAGTGTGATGCATACCACCCACCACCTTTACAATTTATAGGAGGAAACCTGAATTTGAAACCAAAACATGAAGGTATGGATCTAGTTTGTTTATCTTGTAAATTCCAATACTGATTGAGTCGCTAGGTAAGACTCCACAGCAAACGTTTAATAAAAATAAATAACACTATCCCACGGCCTCTGCTTTGGTCAGTTGATCTGTATAGAACAGTGGTAGGCAACCTGCAGTCTGTGGGCCACATGCAGCCTACTGAGGTTCTATGTATAGCCCAACAGACATTTTGTTTACTGTTGCCCGCACATAGAGTTGCCAGATTCTACTGGTTTCCATCCACACAGTTTTCTCCTACCGGCATTACTAAAATGATGTGTTCTTGGGCAACCAGGGCATAGTATTCATGGAAGACTTCACCCACTCCTGGCCTCTGCTTGAACCAAAGCCCATGCAAAAAGCACTGAAAAGGCAGGGGAAGACACACCCAAAGCCCTCCAGTCTAGGGTGATAAGATTAAGGAAATACCCCATATCTAATCTGCGTTGAAGACACCTCCATTGGCATACAGAATGGAGAACAGAGATTCCAAAGCAAGAATTACACTGAACTCTGAGACACAGAAAACTACTGACTGATGTGAAATCTCTGTTCCAGATGCTAGTGAACCGATGCCTGCACACACCCAGCTCACTAATTATCAAATCAATTTTAGTAATAAATCCAGTATCCAAAATACTGACACTACCTAATTATATTATAAGCTCCCTTGAAAGAACACCACCAATAGGGAGGAATGATCAGTTTCTATTGTCTAGCTTACACAGAACAATTTAGAATATTCCCTTGAACCATTTGTTTAGAAAGGTCTAGTGTTCCTTCTTTAATCACTGTTGTTTCCTTACAGAATTCCCTACCTATGCTCAAGTAAAGTATTCTGACGCCTGGATCTAAATTCTACATCAGTTTAATTGGGACTTCATCTTCTCTGTCCTGACTGCACTGGGAGCTTTGCTCTGCCTGTCTCCAACACTCTAGACAGCTACCATCACTATCTGGGAATCCGGATCAGTTTAAGATTCATGGAATGATGAGATCTCTCTCTCTCTTTCTTTCTCTCTTGTTCGCTCTCTCTCTTTTGGTATAGACTCCTGATCCTGCCTTATGTGATCAGTTTTGGTTTGCTAACCTTAATGTTTGTAATCAGATTTAAGTTAGATTTAATATTGCAGTTGTTTTGTTTGGCTTTCCATGTATGAACAACGGGTAGTCCTGTGGCACCTTAGAGACTAACAAAACTATATAGTATCCTGAGCTTTCATGAGTAATGACATATAATAATAATATTATATATGTATTTGTTAGTCTCTAAGGTGCCACAAGACTACTCGTTTTCACAGTGACAGACTAACACGGCTACCCCTCTGAGACTTTTTCCCTTGTATGGTTACTACCTAGAAATAAATAACTTTATGGCTAACCTGATTGCTTCTTTCTGTCTCTCTGCTAAAAGAATGGTCGTGGTGTGAAAGTGGGGATAGAGAGGTGCTGAACATGGGCGTATCTGAGGGTGGCAGCTTAAAGTGCTGTTCAATCCATCCTACTAAAACCAAGAGCACAGGGGGACCACTGCTTGGAATTGCTGTGCAACCCAGCCCAATGAGTCCTGGGGCACATAAGGGATCAGCTTGTAAATGCTAATTAACCATTCCTCTCAGACGTGCTCTGGGAGTGGGTGTGATTGTGTGTGTTCATCTGATTCTAGGGTGGGAAGAACCCAGTCCTGGGGAACCTGGAACCTGCAAGATAGCTCCATTGGGAGGGAATTTGCAGACGGGAAAGTAAAGCTACATATCAGAGCACAAGCAGTAAACTGATGGAATTATCAATCCCCCCTCAGTAACCCTAATACATGAGCATACCCCAAAGTAACAGACAAATCTGGTAACATCCTGCAAATTCTAGGTATGCAAATGCTAATAGAAAAACTACCCTATCCTGGGAGACCATCTTGGTTACAACTATCTTGCAGCCCACTGAGATGGAGGACCACTCACTAGTGTAGGTTGCCCATGGCTGGTATAAATATTCTGTCAAAAAAAAGATGAAATCACTATGCATGGTTATCATTTATGAATGAAAATATAGTCTATAGTGTTTTCTACTATCATATAGCTTATTTGTACTATGCCAGGTCAACAAGATTTGCTAATTTAGCCCTGGAATAAAATTATCTTATAAAAGTAAAAGAGCTTGTGGAGGGAAGTCATGCTGATGCAGCACGTTGACTACACTGATGGATGTTGTCAAATTGTAGAAGGGAAATTGTAACTGCAGACTGTGTAGCTTGCACACATTTCAGTCCTGGGGGAAATTCTGCAATTTTAGTATGGCTCCAAATACAACCATTTCAGAATTCCCCACAGGACTAGCATCATGGCAGGCACGGTCATGGCTCCATAGATTATGACTGCGAATTATCTGTAGTATGCAAGTGTATTTGATAGTTCCTTAACATGATTTTTTTTATTTTATGAGTCTAAAACACTTATACATTGTATATAAAAACCCAAAACAACAGAGGAATTGCTGCATCTGCCTCAGTAGCTAAATTCTGGCCTTTGCTGTCAAAGCATGGATTGGGTCAGGGCAGCAGAGGTGGTGGCAACTGGGTGGTGGCACTATGAAGCATCTCTGCTATCCACCATCACTATACTTCCTTCCACGGGATGTTATGAGAGGATAGGTCCCTCACATTTCAGTCAGCCTGGCTATTCATGATTCATTCAAGATATGGAACATTACTGAGTATGTTAGTTGGACCACTATTATGCACAGGGGTTTAATTCTGCACTCTTTGAAATCAAGGGGAAAACACAGTGATCAATGGTGCTGAGTTACACCCTGAGACTGTTAGCAGAGCATTCTACCTGGCTCCTGCATGCATGTGATGAAGAGTGTCTTTGTGTTGTTTATGATTGGTATGGAAAAAGTGAATAAGGAAAAGTTATTCTTCATACAGAACAGTCAACCTGTGGAACTCCTTGTCAGAAGATGTTGTGAAAATTAGGACTTTAACAGGGCTAAAAAAAAACCGGTACATTCATGGAGGTTAGGTCCATCAATGGCTATTAGCCAGGATGGGTAGGAATGGTGTCCCTAGCCTCTGTTTGTCTAGAAATGGATTACAGGAGAGGGATCATGTAATGATTACCTGCTGTGTTCTCTCTCTCTGGAGCATTTGGCATTGGCCATTGTCGGCAGACAGGATACTGGGCTAGATGGACCTTTGGTCTGACTCAGTATGGCTGTTCTTATACTTTAATTCTTTGCAGAATTAATCTCTGAGCAAGTTTCTTGCATGACACAAAATCAGAAATAAAATCTGAAATGTAATTTTTTCTAGTGTTGTAAAATTTGAAATGTCTACAAACTCTTAAAATAAAAAAATATTAAAAATAGTTCAGGATAGAAGCAAACATTTTTTAACCAAATGATAAACTTCTGAAAATGGAAAATTATGGAATTCTGCCAGATCCTTAGATTATATCTGCACTTGAAAGTCCCACTATACAATTTTAGCATAAACACCAACTGAAAAGGATTATATATCGAGCTGCAATTTTTTTATTGTGAAAATTTGAAATAATAAAAGCTAAAATCATCCCTTGCGTAACTTCATTGAGTTCAACTGGAATGAAAGTTACAGTCGATTTGACCTAGTTTATCTATTCATATTCATACACACATATGTTCATGAAGAGCCTTTTGGAGAATATATCTGTAATGGGCTGTCCCCTAAGGCCACCAGATAGCTGCAATTTCAGATTTCTAGAACTGTGGATAACATGAGTTATTAGATTGAGAAGTAAGACAACTTGAATTCTGCCACTGAAAATGCTGGACCAATTTCAACAGCAACAATCTGTTTTCAAATACATTTGAAAATCTCACTTGCTTGCATAACAGCCATTAGAGCAATGCCTGTATTTTGGGTAAACACAGTGTTGCCAACTCTCACTGTTTTATTGCAAATTTCCCAGTGTTGGTAGTTTTATTAAAGCCTTAACTCTGTGAGCATGAGAATTTCAATAAAGCTAGGAAGTTTCTGAAACACCAGAAAGTAAAGAAAAAGAACTCTCTCTAAAAATACCATGGTTTTTAAACTATTATATAAACCATTTCTTGATTTTATAACACTAGGGTTTTCATTATCATCCATAAACTTCATTTTACGAGGAATAATGCACATTCCAAAATATCTATTTCGAATAAGACGTGTGTAGACGCTCTACTCCTACTATTTCGAAATAGCCCCTCAATAGGGCCATTCCAAGTTATTCCTCTCCAGCGCCTTGTGGGGCTCTAAATCGAGATAACATGTCTACATTAGGGAAGCCTGCCTAGGACTAATTTTGAGGCTTCCCTGCAGTGTCGAAGTGCTATTTCGAAATAGCTGTGCAGTGTAGAAATATCCTCAGAAAAACTGTGATATATTGCTTGTAGTCTTCTGTATATGTATAATATCTTGGCATATTTAATAACTCTCACTGTAAGTTTCTTTCTCTTCATGCATCTGATGAAGTGAGTTGCAACTCACAAAAGCTTATGCCATAATAAAATGTTTAGTGTTTAAAGTGCCACTGGACTCGTTTTTGCTGAAACCGACTAACATGCCTACCTCTGAAATCTGTCACTATAAGTATTAAACTTGGCTATTGATTATTGATCTGTAAAAGTCCCACCTAATACTTGACTTCAGTGCAGCCAAAAAGATAGTGGGAGTATATCAGAGCACCTAATAAGTCTCTCAAGTTCTGGGATATTAGCTGGAGTGGTGATGAAGCAGGGTTTTAGACATCAATTAACTGGATTTATTTTTAGCTGCTACATTTGGAGTTTTGCTGAACAGCAACAACATATATTTGAAAATCCAGAATCTATGACAATATTTCAGTCAAGAATGCCTTACTATGAAGCTTGGATAGGTTATAGATCCTTCAGACTTTAGGTTTCATGGCAAGATTAGGTCTCATGCTAAGGACAGTTTTACTTGCTGAAGTGCTATATCCCGATAAGTAAATATAATATTTAGTCATTTCCCTGACTACCACCCATTTTGTGCTGTCTTACAAAAAGCAAATGAAAAAAAAAAAGAACTCTAGAATCCCATCACTTCTCAGACTTTGACAGAAATGGGTAATGATCTTCTTATTCATTACACAGTGAAAGAATAACATTCTGTGTCAGGAGAATGTATATGTAAGTGGGATTGACTGCTAGTGTATTCAGAAACACCTATTGTGACTCACTAATCACATTCATCACCAGAAGGTGCTTCTGTGAACAAGCTAATTATCAAGGATTGTAGAGCACTGTCAAGACTATTATGTCATTCAGGTAGATTAGGATAGGAGAAAGGGATTTCTAGATAGCATTTATGGAATCCAAGAGAACCTCACATCCAAAATAACCCCCTAGAAAAATAAACATTACAACAATGTATGCATCATTCTCTGGGGATAAGAGGGAAAACAAACTACGTGTGACAGATGTCAGTCACATCGCTTAATGTACTACTGGAAGGTGCTTATGGTACTCTAGTGGTTGAGGGTAGAGGATTTCCCTACTCCCCTCTTATGGAGTTCTTAAGCAGCTACCAACTTGGGCTGAGTAATGGGAATGAGAACTGACCCTTAATGCTACCTCATGTTGTTATGAAGCTGGGATCCAACATGCTGATACAAACTCTGAAAATAATAGCACCAAATAAAGGCAGGGATAGCAAGCACTCTATCATTTGTTCTTCTAGCACAGCCAATTGGTATGATTTATGGTGGCCTTGTTCACACTCTAATAGCTCACTTCTAGAATCAAATTGAGTCTCTAGGCTTCCTAATTGATAAAATGGGAACTGCACAAGAAGTGTTATGCTCAATTGCTAAGTGTCATGACATTTTTCACCACATCTCTCCCTGACAGAAAAATAAAGAATTCTCACTATCTTAGTTTAATACAATGATTGTATTCTTTTCATTTCCATTGAAGTTAGCATCTAGCTGGCACTAATTGCTAAATACCCTGGGTATTTTTGTAAGTATTGTGGTTGGTTGCCTTTAACAAAAGAGATTATTCAAGGATAAATAGACTTCAAACTCTGCTTGCAAGTTCTTTGAATTGGTTCATCATCTCTCACGATTCAGTTATAGTGGGTGCACTTAAAGCATTTCTACTGGCTCTTCATAGCTTCATGATATACCCCTCAATCTATTTAAAGTTTTCTAACATTTTGGATCACATCCTCAACTGGAGCATTTCCAGTTAAACCAATAGAACTGTGTGGATTAACAGCACTTAAGGTCTGACCCCTCCTTTGCAACTACTGTAATAAATATATTCATCTAGATTCTCATATTTTAGCTTCCTGATGGAACTTCACCATTATGCTGCCTACATGCTGCTAGAGAAGAGTCTCACACTTTCCATATTTATAGATGGACATGGGAATAGTCCCCAGGAACTGCACGGGCGGGTTCTCCTTTGCACAGGTAATCTTCCTAAATTGTGTCTATACTGCAGACTTCTCTCGGAAGAAGCTTTTCCAGAAGAGATTTTCCAGAAAAACTTCTTCTGAAAGAGAGCGTCCACACTGCAAAAGCACATCGAAAAAGCGATCTGCTTTTTCAAAAGATAGTGTCCACATTGAATGGATGCTATTGCGCATTTCAGCTGTGAATACTCTGGATGGAGTGGCCACCAAGGCAGCTGTGCTTTTTCCTCTTTCCTCTTCTATCAAAATAACTCCCTCTTCCCCGTCCATACACAGCTTTTCCGAAAGAGCTCTTTTGGAAAAAGGCTTCTTCCTTGTAGAATGAGGATTACCAATACTGGAAAAAACACTCTGTTCTTTCGACTTACTTTCGGAAGAATGCGATTGCAGTGTAGACGTAATTGAAGTTTTTTTGAAAAAACTTTGTAGCATAGACATAACTATTCTCATGTGGAAAGAGAGTTCAGCAATCTCTGTGGCATCATCTCCATCTCCCTCTCCCTTAGATAATTTCAGGATTATTTTTATCATCAAGATGAAGAGCCACTAGGTGGCTCTCTGAGCTTTCTCTAGCTTTGTTAACAATAGGCATTGCAAGTCTCCTCAGTCTCCCATCCTTTTGGAACTACAATTAGTTTCCTTTAATGTTCTTTTCTTTTATTTGTTTTTCTGTTATTCAGAGGATCCATGGATCGTGATAGAATAGTCATAGTTTCAGACTAGTTAATTTCACTCTTAAATGCTATCATTGATGCTCTCCCTTTGAGAAATTTTGGTTTAATTTTACATAAGAATGGCCATACTGGGTCAGACCAAAGGTCCATCTAGTCCAGTATCCTGTCAGCCAACAGTGGCCAATACCAGATGCTCCAGAGGGAGGGAACACAACAGGTAATCCTCACGTGATCCCTCTCCTGTCTACCACTTCCAGAGAAACAGAGGTTAGGGACACCATTCCTATCCATCCTGACTAATACCCATTGTTGGATCTAACCTCCATGAATTCATCTAGCTCTTTTTTGAACCCTGTTAAAGTTCTAGCCTTCACCACGTCCTGTGGCAAGGAGTTCCACAGGTTGAATGTGCACTGAGTAAAGAAAAACTTCCTTTTGTTTGTTTTAAACCTGATGCCTATTAATTTCATTTGGTGATCCCTAGTTCTTATATTATGGGAACAAGTAAATAACTTTTCCTTATTCACTTTTTCCACACCAGTCATGATTTTATAGACCTCATCTCCCCCCTTAGTCTCCTCTTTTCTAAGCTGAAAAGTCCAAGTCTTTTTCATCTCACTTCATATAGGACCTGTTCCAAACCCCAAATCATGTTTATTGCCCTTTTCTGAACCTTTTCCAATGCCAATATATCTTTTTTGAGATGAGGCGACCACATCTGTACACAGTATTGAAGATGTGGCTGTACCATGCTTTTATATAGAGGCAATAGCATATTCTCTGTCTTATTCTCTATCCCTTTTTTAATGACTCTTAATATTCTATTTGCTTTTTTTCACTGCCGTTGCACACTGAGGCTATGTCTACACTACAAGCTTCTTGCGCAAGAAGCTTTTTGCGGAAGAGATTGTCCGCAAAAACATCTTGCATGAGAGCACATCCACATTGCAAAAGTGCATCGAAAAAGCAATGCGCTTTTGCTCAAAAGAATGTCCAGACTGCATGGATACTCTCTCAAAAGAAAACTCTGATTGCTATTTAGGGAATGACCACCAGAGCACCTGTGCTTTTTTCGATTGCCTCTTTTTACACAAAACCTCCGTTCCTCGTCCACACATACCTTTTTGTACAAGAGCTCTTGTGCAAAAAGAAATTATTCCTTGTAGAAAGAGGAATATCTATTGTGCAAAACCCCCTCTGCTCTTTCGATTTTTTTGCTCAAAAACGCACTTGAGGTGTGGATGCTCTGCGAGTTTTTGTGGAAAAATAGCCAAAAAACTCTGTAGTGTAGACATAGCCTGAGTGGATGTTTTTTACTGAACTGTCCACCATAACTCCAAGATCTCTCTCTTGAGTAGTTGTAGCTAAATTAGCCGCATCATATTGTATATGTAGCTGGGATTATGTTTTCCAATGTGCATTACTTTACATTTATCAACATTAATTTTCATTGGCCATTTTGTTGCCCAATCACCTAGTTTGAATAATCTATTTTGAATTTTGAATAATCTAGTTGTGGAGCATACTAACTGAACATTGCTACGTGGATTCTCCATGATTTGAAATCTTTAAAACAATGCTTTATGTCTTTTTAAATTACATACCCCCTCCAATGCTGAGTTATTGGGCTGATATAGGAGTAACATGGTGAAATTCTATTGCCCAGGTTCTGCAGGAGGTCAGACTAGATTTTCACCTAGTCTGATATTAAAATATATGAACCTAACTAAAATGTTCAAACAGTGAAATCTATTAATATTAAAAAGAGAGTATTTGAGTAAAGAGTAGAACTAAAAATATCTGTGACCTTAACTAGAAAAGAGCACTATGAATGCTCAAAATAAACTTTAGTTATTTTCTTTTCTTCTTTTTCCCCCAGGTCAAATAAAATGCATATACAGTTTCAATATTATGAATAATGTTATGAAAGGCTAAATCCTACTTCAAAAATTGATATGCTTACCCCATAAACAAGTTCTCCCACCATCCCATTCCAGATTTTTGTTTCTGGATCCCTTGCTCCATATTTTCCATCAGGGACAATGGCAATTTTGTACTTGATACCAATATGTTTTGCAATTTCTGATGCCAGATCTACACAGTATCCTTCATACTTGTCATTCCCTTCAAACGTATCATGGTTTTTCTTGAACATAACATATGGGGCTTCCTATAATGAGAGAAGTAGAACTGTAAAGGAGAAGTACACAGCACAGACTCTGAATAGCATCATGTTGTCCACTGAACAATATGCATTTTATCAAAAGTTCACAGATAGCTCTAGCACATGTATATTTCAATGCAGAAATCCATGCTCTTAAATATACATATATATTCTATTTACATGATTAATTTGCTTATGTTATAAAATCAACATTAAAACCCTTTTACTATAAACATACACAATTTAAGCATTTATATACAAGTTACTCTTTTAAGTGAGAGAGCTCCCAATAGATATGTATCATATATCATAAGTTAAAAAGCTGACAAACAATTGGAGCTCTATACAATACATAGGATCATAAGCTAAAAAAACTAAACTTTTGGATTGAAATATGTACATCCTTTCACTTGCTGTGGATCCTCTATGGATATAGTCGCATGTATAGTCTGGTATGTTATGTGCTGTTCATTGTTTAAAATACTTGGCCATACCTTGGTTACTAGAAGACAATTTGTATTTTAACAGAAATAACTAATATGGTCATGGGGAAACACCTACTTGCCCCCTACACAGACAGTACATGCTGTTTCTTGGTACATACCAAGGAATATGGAGACAAGTGTAAAGTTAGAAGAATGCTATCTTTTTGCATGCATTTAGAGTCATTTAAAACCATAGATGAGCTAGAAAATAGCAAGTAAAATTGTCTCCGAAAAATGGATCTGTTTTTTATGCAAATTACACTATAATGTAAATATACAGTATGTGATTGCAAAAAATGAAATGTCACAGTATTTCCATATTATTGTAGATTCAGAATTCAGTATTTTTATGAAAATAATGCACATCTTCAATTATTTTACATAATTTTTATTAATAATCAGTTTAAAGTAAATTCTTTCCATTAAAGTAACCATTTGCCTAGTTAGAACATTTGTGTCTACTTCATAAAAACATCTGAGTCATCACATTTTCCTCTTCTCAGAATAAAAGATACCTGTGGTATCAGTTGGCAAATGTTGATTCTTTAATGGTGACTACTATAGACCGCTTCCCTACTTACATCTTTTACAGCATGCCTAGTTAGAACACAGGCAAAAGAAAAAGAACAAGTGTATAAATTAACTATTTTTTATTGAAACCAACACATGTACATCAAGGCTGTGTCTACACTGCACCCCTTTTCCGGAAAAGGGATGCAGATTAGACACTTCGGAATAGGCAAATCCGCAGGGGATTTAAATATCCCCCGCGGTATTTGCATTAACATGGCTGCCGCTTTTTTCCAGCTTGGGGATAAGCCGGAGAAAAGCGCCAGTCTAGACGTGATTCTCCGGAAAATAAGCCCTTTTCTGGAGGATCTCTTATTCCTACTTCAGATCAGGCACTACAAACTTGTTGCTGCTAACACTTGGGCTGTGTCTACACTGCACCCCTTTTCCGGAAAAGGGGTGCAGTGTAGACACAGCCCAAGTGTTAGCAGCAACAAGTTTGTAGTGCCTGATCTGTTTTAATATTTGGTGTGGGGATAAGTGTGACAAGGAACTTGTGTAAGCTAACAGTCATATAAGCACCTGGGATTTGTAAATATTTCAGTTAAATTCTGCTTTTCAACCAAGGTTCAGGTCCAAGAGAATATTATGCACATGTTACCCTTAGGCATGTTTGTGGCCTGTCCCCCTGGTCATCTCTTCAATGTGACCACAGTTTGTTCTGCCACCAAGCAACACTCCTAGGGCGGAGTTCCCTTTTCATGGCTTTCTGTGACCTTAAAAAGGTTCTTTCTTTGAGGCCTTTCACAGCTTAGAGTGTTTGCCACTAAGGCCAGCTTTAAAAAAGGGCCTAAGCACAGAGAAGTGTCTACCACGCCGCTGGACACTGACTTGCAAAGTGATCTCCTGACTGGAGGGGTGAAGTTCTATTCAGGAAACTGGGGGATGACAACAGCAGATCACATGTGAGCCACTGGAGGGGGGGGGGGAAGCCTGAGTTTTAGAAGCACTTCTCAGACTTGTGCAATCGTGTAACGAGTTGCTTTAGTTGTACTGTGTACAACACAGTACATTGTGGATACTGAAGGAAAACCACCACATAGTGCCACTTGCTACAATTTCTAAATGGGGTATTCACCACTTCCTGCACTTACTCCTTGCATTCCCATCCTCAGCTAATCTCTTTTGTGTGAAGACAGAAGAGAAGGGGGTGGGAGGACAGAGGTACCTACAACCCTAATCTCCTCACATAGGGCTGCCTTCAGGTAAGTATTTAAGTTAAGCTTGAGTGGCCTCATTGACTCTGTGAACTATTCACATATTTAAAATTAGGAATGTGTTTATGTATCTTCTTGAATTTGGGGAGGCTGTTCATATGCGCAGTGCTAGCCTTAATTTGGGCTTGTCCATATGCCCATTCTGTAAACAAAACTGATAAAGAAAGAAGAGACTAAGGACTAAGGCAATGCATCGCTTTGCAGTAGCTTAGCTAAATATACCCTGTCAGATTTCCCTTCTTCACATAACATCCTTATAGCCTTGAAGTGCAGTGCCCTGGTACATTTTGATTTTTTACTTTCTTTTAAAAAGGCTGAGTCATCGACTGTTGGATTCAGCTTTTCCTGATCAAAACACAACATGCAATGGTAAATACACACTGGGCATGAGCTACTTTGGATAGGAGCTGAGTGTGGAGGAAGCAAGGATGAAGCTGCTTCAACATTCCCTTCCCTCCCTGATCCCCCCAGCACCCAGCCGCTGACTCTCCGTGTGTTTCTCCCTGAGGGCTAGACTGCATTGAAGGTATAGCCCAGGTGTGGGGAAGCTTTTGTGGGTCAGGGGCCACTGACCCACAGAAAAATCAATCTGGGGCCACACACAAGTGAGAAGTGGAAAAAAACCCTCACTGTGGGCCCTGACTGAGAAGGAGAAAGACACTTCCCACACCCATCTTGCATACCAGAGCCTACAGGGGCCTAGCCTAGTAGATTTCGTGCACTCCAGCCCCCAGGAGTAGTATCAGGGAGGCTGGAGCACAAACATGAGCTCCCCAATGCTGGGGGGGAGGGTGGCTGAGCCTCGGGGGCTGGATCCAGGCAAGCCGTGAGCTGCATCCAGCTCCCATGCCTGAGGTTCCTCACCCCAGTATAGCCTTTAAACAGTAAAATAAATTGGAAACTCTGTATACTCCTGATTTTCCTTTTAAAAAGGCAAATTCAATCTTAACATCAGCTCATATTCCTGTGATGAACTGCTGAGGAAAGGTGTTGTTGAGGGACCAGGGCAGACATGATGTGATTTCTGTGAAGGCAGTACCATCCACTGGATAAAACACTGGATGGCGACTCATGAAACCTGGTCAGGAAGTCTTGGTCAAGTCTTTTAATTTCTTTATGCTTTTCTTGCCCCTCCTATCCTCTGTTGGTTTTACCGATTTAGACTGTACTTTTTGAGGCAGAGACTGGCTCTTGCTATGTGTTTGTACACTGCCTAGAACCATGCAACCCTGATCTTAGTTGGAAAGGACAATAGAGTGAAACTCACAAATGTTAAATAATACAATTAAAGTAGCAGGAATACGTACTACCTTTTTCTTGTTAGGTTGTCCTCTTTACTACTATACATAGCATATATAAAAATTAAAAATGTTTAAAAAATGTGTTTACCATTTGAGTTATATTACAATTAAAGATGAACTCAAATGACAAAACAGGCTACATCTACACTGCGCTGTTTTGCACAAGAAATATGCAAGTGAGGCAAAGCATGGAATATCGCGATGCCTCATTTGCATAACTAATGAGCGGCCGCTTTTTGCACAAGAGGCTTTTGCGTCCTTTTTTCAGGAAGAATGGCTCTTGCTCAAGAGGGGGGTTTTGCACAAAAAGGAGCCATGTAGATGGATCCTTTTTGCGCAAAAGCCTGTTGGGCAAAAAGCAGCTACTCATTAATTATTCAAATGAGGCATGGCGATATTCCACGTTTCGCCTTGTGTGCATATTTCTTGTGCAAAACAATGCAGTGTAGACGTAGCCACAATGTTTAAGGGTGTTTGGATCTGGCATTCAGACTGATACATTATTGTAATAAGGGCCATTTTCACATTTAGAACAGAATGTGGGCTTGAATTTTCTTCTATCACAAATTTTGTGTTTAGATGTAGTGTTTTATTAAAGCCTGCAATTATAATAGCACTAGGCCATGCAAAGGCAAGGTTTACTGGATCTTTAACCAATACATTGTATAGATGATGTCCACAGAATCATAGAATCATAGGGTTGGAAGAGACCTCAGGAGGTCAATGAGTCCAATCCCCTGCCCAAAGCAGGACCAACCCCAACGTTGTAAGCTCACATGTAATAATGGCAGATATTAATAATCATAATAATGAAACACACCGAGTCATATCGTAATGCTAAATTCTGTTTATCCTACTGAGGTAGATCGATTGCTTTAAGGAATGTCTTTTAAAAGACTGTCACAATTACAGTTTAGGACTGTAAACTCGAACCTACTAATAACAACACAGATGTGAATTATTTAGTGCAAAACATGCTACTGTTGAAAGGGACTTAACATTGTAATGTTTGAACTGTTTAATGATAATCTGTAATTAAGTAAATTACATACAAGGTCCACATTGAAATGATCAATGACTAGTACTGAACATAGGTAGTTAAAACGACACAAGCTTTACTTCTATATTCACAATTTGATAACAATACTTAACATTTTGAAATACAACTGGATGACTGAAACAAGTACCTTTACAGATAGAACCAAATCATTCCATTACATTCTTGCAGACTCACATGTACAGTAAAATGCTCCAACTGGAAATTAATTTAATAATGGAAGTAAGTAAAAAACCCTAACCTGACACTGTTTGGTTAAGGGAGGCCTATTTTAATGAAGTCCCTTTTGCACTTTCTAAAACACTGCAAACATAAATTATAACATAGAAAATGATTTTTGTGCAAGGAAATAGCTCAGTTCTTCACTATTAATTCTGATAAAATTACTGTTGAAGTCAGTGGGGATTCTAAAATGTACTTTAGATTTGTGGAGGGACATAATACTGGATTTCTTGAGAACCGTTGGTTCTGTTTTATTTAACCCCAATGTTTCTTAGGTTCAAGGTTTGTAACTTATACCCTTAGTCTTCTGAACCCTAATATGTTGATATTATATTGAAGTGCTGTGTTGGAAAAAATGCTTAAAGTTCACTGTTACCATGCAGTTCTTTAGCTTTAACCAATTTAGTTCTTTGTCACCGTTACAGCTTTTGAAACCTTTTATATGAAAATAAAATATTAATTAAATACAAATGTTCACTAGAGTAGGGACCTCAACTTTTCACTCTAGCATACTCCCAGGAATATTTTTCAGTAGGCTACATAAAAAATGTAAAACAAAATCTAAGCATCTATACTGTACTACAGGCAACCACACAGTATTTTGCCAAAGCAGAAAGTACCATTATTATTTGTTTGAGTATAAAGCTAGTTTATTTTATTAGGTATCTTATATTTAATAATAAAATAGTCAATTACAGCAAATTAAGCACAGATACATACAAAATAAGACATTAAAGCAAAATGATCAGTGCTGTATTACTTCACACAAAAATTAGAGTGTCCCATACTGACAACTCTTAAATCTTTTACTATGTCTAGATATCTGTCTTCCACAGACTGAAAAGCTTGACAACATTGAGCCCAGAAGCCTTTCAGTTTAATAAAGGAAGGAATGCATGCAGTCAAAATTATATTTTTCATGTATATTAAATCAGCTTTCCTTCAATATGAAGAGGGCAGTGAAGAGGTCACAAGTCCCTGTCTGGCATTTGTGACACGAGTAAAGTACAGGAAAGAGCAAAATGACAAGATTCTGAAATGTACTGTGGTTTAATAGGTTGGTTTTTTTATTATTAAGAACTTGTAGATTCTACTTCTGTTGCCTTTGAAGATGACTAATAAGAACTATGGGTCAAATTCTGCTTTCAGAGCTAACTGTGTGGCTCCTACTGAAGTCAATAGGAGCTATGCATTACGCATAACTAGCCAAAGACAAAATTTTCCCATGTATTTTTATTTCAACCAAATTATGACATATGTCTTTTAATGTGAAATCAGTGAGTGGGTCACTTTAGGTTGATAGGTATATTTCTGGATAATTGTATTCATTCAAAAATGACATGCTGCATGAAAACTGGGCATGCTTTGCAAAATTCATTCAGCTTCTTGGTTTGGAAAATGATACCACCAGTTCTTTTTCATGGACTGGAAAACTTCTGCTAAAGATAACATTTATTATGCACAGATGCAAACAGGACAGGCAAAGTAATACATTGAGAAAGCTCCCTTCCTCCCTCCCTCCCCTTGCATACTTTTGGCAAACAGGCATCCTTTTAATATTTTGATTACTTGCTTCTCCTAAGCTTGGAGCTATTTACAGAAGTAACACTGCTCACTTATGGGAGCCTCAAGTAAAGATATCAGGATTGGTATGAGAGGAAAATTTTCAATTCAGAACTTGTTATTCACATCATTTTCTTCTCAGCTTGGCAAAGTTGAAGGTTAATGTCCTCTGTTCTACACATTTCAGAATAGTCACAGAGCTTTTCTTGGTGGTTCAGTGCCTGGCCATCCAGTCAGAGGAAGAGTAATCCATATGGGAAAATTAGCTCAATATTACTACACTGCAGGTTAATACTTGAGTCTTAGTTAGGAATGTTCGTAGCATCGCGGGACTCTGTTCTTCCTTGATCAATTTCTTAAAATAGGATTCTTCATCAGAGGCTGAAAAGAGGAGGACTGTACTGAAGTATAATTTTTCCATTACCATGTCTTTTTTAGGAAAAAGATACACATATTTTTAAAAGTCCCATGCAAAATATTATACAATTAGGTTAGGAGTTACACTCTGAATTGCTGTACAGTACATTGATCAGTTTGCGTCCCACAATGATAACCTTCAATAGGAAATTTGTCAGGACCTACTTACTGCGTAAACCCTGATATATAAATACAAACAACAGGGTAACTAACTACAGTCAGAATATTTCCCAACAACACCTT